AAAAAATAAAAGGATAAAAAAAAGTAAAGTCGGAGACCGGCCTCGTCAACGCCGGAAACCGGCGAACAGGAAGAAGAAAAAGTCAACAGTGGCGACGAACGAAACTATTCTCAAAATTGCGTTTTGGGTCAAAATTGAATGTTGTGAAATTTGGGGTCAAATTGAGGTTCAATTAAATTAATGGATGAAATTGGTGCATATTAAAATATGAGGGGCTACTTTAGTCTTTTACCAACATCTGGACAATATTGACTTTTTTGTAAAAGAGTTTTTTGTCTGGACTCCTTTATGAATAAATACCCATTGATGGAGTTATTTGTAGAGTGCCCAAATTAAAAATATCCATAAGGAAATTTTTACAACATAAAATCAAGGGATAATTAGCAAGAACCCCATCATGTAGGAAAATGAGTTAAGGAAACACCCCCTCCCAAAAATAATTATGGAAAGCCCCCTTAGCTAATATCTCACTCAAATGCTATTTTAATAATTCCCAAACCACCCTTACTAATATTCAATCTCATTTTCACGTTTCAAAACCCTAACCCATTTCATTTGCGGTTCTCTCTTCTCCTATTCTCATCTTCTCATTTACTCTCTTCTCTCTTCTTTTCTCAACAGAAATTTGGAGGAAAAGCAAGATGTCGACCGACGGTGGTGGTGGTGGTGGAAGAGTGTTTGTCGCCGCCTCCCGCCGCCGCGTAAAGGATGGTGACGAATTTGTATAAGTTGGCGGCGGTGGTTTACACCGACGACGTTGAAGCTCATGACTAACGCTCGTCGTCGAGGACATAGTGGGTTGACGGCTACGAGGACGAGCCATGAGAAAATCACAGTTGCAATTGACGTTGATCAAGGATTTGCTTTTTTTTTTTTAGTGTTGGTTTTGTCATGTGTTCAGAAACTGTTTATGGAGTGACCAACAATGGTTGACAAATACCTTGAATCGTTTCAGTTTTTTTTTTTCTTTTTTTGTGAACATTGAAATGCTAATTTGTCTTTTTGTATGAATTATAAATTTTATTTATTTTATTCTTTTTAGTGATTGGTTGAATAATGTGGTGTGACGGCGGTGTGGTGACGATGGGGAGGCAAATTTAGGATTTTTTGGTAGATCGGGCGGATGACGGCGCGTGTAGAGAAATTCGCACATGCTGGAACCTTAATCAATTATGTACATGTTCAATAGCCGATTAAGCTAATCGGCTATGCTCTGGTAGTCGATTAAGGTTGATCGACTCCAATTTTTTATTTTATTATGATTTTTTTGTTTATTGATTCCAATTGTATAAATCAATTATTATGTTTGTATATTTTTTTTTTTGTAAAATATAGTTGATTTTGGATTTTTTTGCAGTTGTGATTTGTTAGTTTTAGTAGCAGATTCTTAATCATTTATGCTTCATCATAGCTGATTAATATACGTGATATAGAAAAGAATTAAAAAACAAAAAAAATTAAATTTTTTTTAAAGATTTTCCTTAATCGACTATGCTTCATAGTCGATTAATAAAACAGATACAGAAAAAAAACGGAAAAAAAAAAAAAAAAAAAAAAAAAGAAAAAATCGCTGATTACCAGCGCATGATGCATTGATGATGTGGCGGGCGGGGACAAAATTGGAAAATATAATGACTGGCAACGGGTGTGGTCTTTTTTCAAATAAAGAGAAATATTTTGGGCATCTCTCCATTAAAAGAAGTAATAAGGGGTTTTTTTTTTCAAAGAGCCCCTAAAATCAAAATCCAACATAAAGATGATTAAAATACAAAATCAAATTAATTAAGGACAAATGGTAAAAACGGACATGATAAGGGACGTAAACACACATTGGTCCACAAAAAAAAAAAAACAGTCTCTCAAATAAACTCATCCCATGTCTTTAGTTTAAAATACCCTCCATAATATATGTTTTATCAATTATATCTATTATACTCTAACTTCCTTAACACATTGACCCCAGATTTAAACAAATATATCACATCAACCCCCTTTTTAATAATTTTTTGAAAAAATATTTTTTTTTTCTGAATTTTCTTTTTCCGGCAAGATTTAGGCGTTGACTTTTTTTTTTTTTTTTTAAACTTTTTTTTTTCTGAAATTTTTTTTCTGGCCGTTTTTTTTGGTTATTTTGTTTTTTCTTAGACAAAAATACTTTAATTAATATTACTGTCTTGTCTGCTAAATTACTGTCTCAGACAGTAATATTACTCTTTGGGATAGTAATATTATGAATATTATTTTCACGAACAATAATATTACTAATATTACTGTCCCAAAGAGTAATATTATCGCATGAGACAGTAATATTACGGTCGGGCCAAGACGATAAAATTAATTTATACAGTAATATTACTATCTCAATTAAATTACTGTTGGAGACAGTAATTTAGCAGCCAAGACAGTAATATTAATTAAAATAATTTTTTTTAAGAAAAACAAAATTCTCAAAAAAAAAATCAATAACAGTTAAATCCACTATCTCTGACCAGTTAAGTTACTGCTGGAGACACTAATTTAGCAGGCAAGACAGTAATATTAATTAAAATATTTTTTTAAGAAAGAAAAGAAGTTAATTAACATTTAAATTACTATCTCCGAGAGTTAAATAACTGCTGGAGACAGTAATTTAGTAGCCAAGACAGTAATATTCATTAAAATGTTTTTATTAAGAAAAAAAAATAGGTCAATTAACAGTTAAATTACTGTCTCCGTCAGTTAAATAACTGCTGGAGACAGTAATTTAGCAGTTAAGACAGTAATATTAAGTAAAATATTTTTTTTTAAGAAAAAACAAAATAAAATAAAATAAAAGTCAACGCCGGAGACCTAGCAGTCAACGACTGTTGACCTACCGGAAAAAAAAAATTCAAAAAAAAAAAAATAGTCAACGTCGGTCTCCGGTGGTGGCGGGTCAAAATTGAAATAATGGCCAAAATTGGTTAATTGGTGAAATTGGGCTAAATTGGGGTGTAAATCATGAAATTGGAGTTGACCCAAGTTCGAAGGAATTGGGGGTAACTTTGGTATATGTAAAGTGGTTTTCCTTGTTTGCAAATAAGTTTGAATGAGCTCGAAATATTTGAAACACAAAAAAATGAATGTCTCTTTTTTAATTAAATGCCCCTGTCATTGGCCTTTTTGTGATTAACCCATTAATTAAAGCGAAGCCCAGCCCAACCATATTATACCCACTAAACTTAACTACCGTTTGTTTGCGTGAATACTTCGTCCTATATATTAACATCTAGGGTTAACATCTCCGTGTTAACAAAAACCAGGGATTGTTAGAGGCATGGAAAAGGCAAAGCGTGATTCTTTGTCTATTGACAGAATATCCGATTTGCCAAAGGACATCTTGCATAGAATACTGTATTTTCTCTCTCAAGAAGATGTTGTCCGAACATCTGTCTTGTGCAAATCATGGCGCTACGTTTGGTGCACTCGTCCCAATCTTGATTTTTCCGACATCAACTTCAAAGGTAACAAACAAGATTTTCTATCAACGGTGGACAAAACTTTACAACAATACTACGATCAATGTTTGTCATTGGAGAAATTCCGCCTTTATTTATCGTTGCTAGGCAAAGATTATTCGCATCACGAATCGGTTTTGCTTCTTGACCAAATGGGTCCCATTACTCAAAGCTATGCGCGTAAAGGAAATTTGTCCCTTCTAGTCTTTCCGATCATACTCCTGGAATTACCGATATGCCCTCGGTGGTCTTTAAAGCCGAATCGCTCGAACTTTTGCATCTGAATAGGTGCAATTTGGGCCAGAATATTCCCGAGAATATACCCTTTGTGCGTCTACGAGTACTTCGCCTCAGCAACGTCTCGGTCGAGAACGAGGTTTTCGAAAAGATAATCTCAAGCTGTCCTTTGCTTACAACTATGTCGTTGGACGGGTGCAAGGGGTTGAAAACGATCAAGCTGGAAAAGAAGATTCACAAGCATCTCAAGCACTTCACTTTTATTAATTTAATGAATCGCACAGCAGAAAAATGCAACATAGAAATCGACATCCCGACTCTTGAAACGATCGAGATTATGGGCAGTAAGATTAGGTGTAGCATGCGTAATTTGAGTATTCTAAAGACTTTGTCTCTAGGCAGTGTCGAACAATCTCCGCTATGTATTGATGCCCAAAACATACAAAGTTGCATGTTGTTGACTTAGCAGCACAAGTCATTCATGGTCTTAATAATGTGTTCTGTTAATTTAGACTTGATTTTGTTAACTTAATCCCTGCCTACACTTTTCGAATGAGTTTAAATTCTAAATGGACTGTTCGTAAATTGAACAAAATCGGATGTATTTTTTGGTTAGACATGTATTTCAATTTCTGAACTTATCAAAAAAGAAAAACGATAACAATTTGTGTGGCAAACTAAGGTTTTCTACATCTGAGGATGACCAAAAGTTGTTTCATATGATCTTTTGGTTATATGTTTTACCCAGCTAGACAAAAAGTAATTTTATATCTGAATATTCAGAGGGCTTAAAATAAACGGTAAATAGCACTTAATCCCTTGTGGATCGGACATTTTGCGCATGATCCCTTATGGTATGAAATTAGGCACATTACTCCCTTGTGGTTTGACATTTTGCACATGACCCCCTTATGGTAGAAATTAGGCACATAACCCCTTGTGGTTGCAAAGATACCAACTTTTTGTTGGTTACTCTATCAAGTCAAAATTTCTTGTTTTAATTTAAAAATAATTATTCTATAAAATAAAAGGCTTAATGCATTTTTTTTTAAAATGAGAAATAATATATATATTGTGTTTTTTTTTAATTTTAATTATTTTTAATTTCTATGAATTAAAAAGAAAAATAATAATATATTATATTTCTCATTTTACAAAAGTGTACATTAATGTTTTCATTTTATAGAATAATTATTTTTAAATTAAAAGTAGAAATTTTGACTTGATAGAGTAACCAACGGACAGTTGGTATGGTTGCAATTTGGCTAAACTTTAGGAGTAATTTAGTCTTTTCCAGTTTTCTATTCAAGGAGGTTATGTGCTAATTTCATACCATAAGGAGGTCATGTGCAAATTAAATGTCAAACCCACAAGGGGGTTATGTGCCTAATTTCATACAATAATGGGATCATGTGCAAAATGTCAAAACCATAAGGGGGTTATGTGTCTAATTTCATACCATAAGAGGGTCATGTACAAAATATTCAAACCACAAGGGGGTCAAGTGCTATTTACCCTAAAATAAAATCATTAGTTCAATTAGTTTGATTTACGAATTTTCACATTCGAAATAAGTCTCTCGTCTGACAAAGAGAATCAGAGAAAAAAGAAAACTTCGTGTATGAAAAAAATAACACAATACATCAAGGTTAAAGTTGTCACTATCATGGTTATTAAAATCTTACGATTTACGATTCAAATCTTACCATTCGATTTATACCTACATCGATTCAAATCTTAAAACAAATCATAAATGTCAAAAATCATTCAAATCTTATGATTTACAATTCAATTTTTTCGAATTAAGAAAATTTTAATTTATTTATTATCTATAATAAATTTCAATACAAAAAAAACATTTACTTTAACTGAAAATAGTTAATGTGATTATTTCGCTATTGTCAACACTTTATCCTATGAAATACTATTAAATTAAGTATACATAAAACGAAAATCACTACATTTTTGCTTCTATTTCTCATCTACTGTTGCACTATAAAGCAGTGTTCTAAAAATCGGCCGAGGCGGCCGATTAATCGGTCGCCGAGGCGGAGGCGGTCCAAAACCTTTACGATTTTAGTGTAAAGGTTTGAAAAATCGGTTTTTTGCCTGTGGGGCGGTTTGAGGCGGTTTGAGGCGGTCGGAGGCGGTCTGAGGCGGTCAAACCTTTAAGGCGGGTCAAACTTCGGTGGCAAAAATCGGCAAAAAATGGTCAAAACTCGGTTTTTTTTTTTTTTTTTTTTTTTTTTTTTTTAAATCAAAATAAAAGTTGGGATTTTAATAAAAAAAAAATGAGTTTATGCTTTATTTTGTTTATGTTAATTATTATTGTTAAAGAACTAATGATGTATGTAAATTAAAAAAAATTGCCTTTTTATTTATATTTTATAAGGATATTTATGTATTATGAACTTATTATTATTAAATTTTTAGTATGTTATTAGAATATATACATGATGGAGATATAACTATGTTAAATATTTTGTATCTATGTTTTGAGTATTTATAAATAATATCTACAAATATATTATATTAAATTTTAAAAACCGATTTATTTCCGATTTATCACCGATTAATCACCGCCGCACCGATTAATCGTGAGTCGGTCCCTAACCGCCTCCGACCCGATTACCGCTTTTTACAACCTTGCTATAAAGTAGGAAAATCAATTGGAGTGAGTTTAATTCTATTTTTTTCTAAATAAATATTGTTTTATTTTAATTAGTTCTCAAGATACATTTATATTTTTACTCGAACTTCTCACAAGTCACCGACTTTTAATAGTATCTTAATGTTGTTGTAGACGTTGTACAGCGTGTTGTTGAGTCCGTTGAGGATGTAGTTTCAAAAAAGGAAGTCATTGTGGTGTCAAGCGTCGTAAGCATTCCTTCTTTGAGCATCGGTGTCATCTTCAACCACCATTGGAGCAATTTGCCTCAAGAACCCTTAAAGGTTCATGGCTGTCAAGTAGAACATCGTATTTTGTTGCCAGCTTTTGAATTCGACACCGGTGAATTTTTTCGGACTCTCACCATGAGTAGGGGCAGAAGTGTGGATCAAAAGATCCATGGGAATTTCAGCGCAAAGGTCAGGAGGGAGCGCAACAGCGGCATCAACGACTTCAGCGTTTTTGTTTTCCATTTTGAAAGATACAGAATATTGTCTTACGATTGTTATTTGTGAGGTATATTTCAAAATACAATTTATAACAGAGCTTTAGTACGAAGAAAAGAAGTCGAGGCAAGAATTAGAATCTTTCTCTGTAAAACAATATTGGCCCGTATTAGTGCTAACGGTTCCAGCCAATTGTCCCCAAGATACAACCACCTGTGGATATTCGAGTTTGCAGCACAACAAAGCTCGAAGTACAGGCGAAAAAAACGAGAGCCTTGGACTTTCTAGACACAAAAGGAAGATATGAACAATATGCTTGTGAATGTAGTGAATTCGAATGAGTGCGTTTTGCATTATGCAGGGGCTCCATTTATAGGACTGAAAAAGTTATGTGTAAAAGACACAACTTTGAGAAAAAGAAAGGGTTGAAAAGATGTGGCATATTTTCACATGGTCCAACACAACTTTGAGAAAAAGAAAGGGTTGAAAAGATGTGGCATATTTTCACGTGGCCAAGCACGGACACATATCACACTGCGATTAGCTAGAAGCAATGTTGTTAGAACCGGGTCAAACCGGTTCAACCGGATTTTGATATTTATTAATATGTCATTCTTTTATTAATTTTAATATTTTAAAAATATTATTTTTTCATATTTTTAATCTCTATTATTTTCACCGGGTCACGGTCGAACCGGTCCGACCGGCCGATTCGATAATATTTTTTTTTTTCATATTGTTAATCTATATTATTTTCACCGAAAGGAAGATGGTCATTTGACCCCAGTTTTAGAGGTATGACCAGACCGCTTCATCACCGGGTCACGGTCAAACCGATCCGACCAGCCGATTCGATTCTAACAAACCAAACATTCCCAACGGCCCACTTGTCAATTATATTATTAACTAATCACCTTCCACTATTTAAAATATCCTCATTAAAATTCGTTTTCCAATGTGGGATGATGCCTTTCATCTTCTCACTTCCATAAATAATCTTGTTTAAGTGTTCATTTAAATTTTTTTCAAAATAAAATAAAATTATCTATTTAAATACATTAATTTCTCATTCATCAAAAATCGGTTTTGAGAAATCAACTACATTAGATTTCTCTACTCGAAACATAGATCGTGAATATAAATTATATTTCTATATTAGATAAATATAACCCACTTAAATATTTTATTAAAGTTGGGTGCAGACACAATTTTTTCAACCGTCTTTATCAATAATTTTCGTGGCCAAAAAGGCACTCATTATGACAAATTTTCTCCTCACCCAAAGTGCCCTTTTTTGTTTTTTGTTTATTGTAGTGTTGTGGTGGTCTTGTCTCTTTTAGACATCGTCATCTGTGTTCGATTGAAAATGAGGGACGTGTGACACTGCGTGTCAAGTTATAAGACTAACAAGTTAGAATTACAGGCAAATTATTCTTACAACATATACTGTCCTTTTCTTTACATTGTTTATGTCTATTTATTAGCAACGCAATTAGTTCGTTTCTTTTATTGTACAAATGGATGATTCTTTTCTTTTGTGGTTCTGTTTTTGTCGTCAAATTTCGAGGCATTTTGCGAGCAAATCAGAATGGTTTTACTGTGTTAGTAATCTCCTGCCGAACTTTTTTCTTTTTTGATAATTAATCTCCTGCCGACTTTGTTACAATGAAAAGATATTAAGTCAATTGAATTTCTATCTCTTTCAGCCTGATTTATTTGTTACAAGAAACAATAATATTTAGTAAAGTGATAAACTACTATTTGAGCAGGATTTTAAATTAAAAAAAAAAAAAAAAAAAGAGAGAGAGAGAAAAACAATTAAAATAAAAAAGAGAAACAATTTAAAAGGCTCAAACAACACTACATTGTCATCTGATGATCAGGGAGAGCAACGGACCCAACCGTTGCGAGTGCAATTATCATCAATTTTGCCAATGCACCAGCCGGGAATCAAACCCGGGTCTGTACCGTGGCAGGGTACTATTCTACCACTAGACCACTGGTGCTGGATGGAAATTTCTTACAATTACAATAATAATACAAATTCAGATGAGTCGTCTAACATATTTTAGAAACAATTGGTCTTATATCCATTACAGCTCACTGCCTTTTCACGCGAGGACCATTTCAAAAATAAATATTTTGTATCAATAAAACATACAACAATAAAAAAAGTATTATAATACACCTTATATTACAAGGTATATAAAACAAATACGTCCGACCAATTTTACTCAACTATCGACTAAATCGATATAAAATAATATGTTCCAGTTATATAAACAAAAACATAACAAAAGGAAGAACTTTTTAAATTATTTTGTTTATCGTAACATATGAAATGCAATTACTATTACGATGAAAATTTTGGATTCTTGTCCGGTTCAAGTTAATTGAGAAACACAGAAAGTTTCAATATATTGTGTAATATTAAGCATTTTTTATTTGACTTTGAACTATTTTAATTCAAGACTCATGCCATGAAATATTTGATTTTATTATAATATTGTTGAACTATTTATGTTTAATTTTCAACACATATAGATTGTAATTTTTATTTTTTTTATTCAAATATTCTTAAACTAATTATCTTTAATTTTAATTAGAACATAATATTGTTGTTACAAAATATTCAAGCAACTTTTTTTGGCTTAATTCCACTTTGCACCTTTAAAATATACCATTTTTGCACCTTCAAAACAAATTAATAACACTTTGCACCCTCGAAACACAGTATAGCATGCATAATGCCCCCACATGAGTTTTTAAAGCAAATAAAGGTAATTTAATATTTTCAGTAGTATTTAAAAATTATATTTTTTATCATAAAAATATTTACCGATTGACTCTTACAAAAGATGGGAAAAGAAGATTACAAAAATGAAGGGTTGAAATTGTCATCTAAAGATCAATGAGAGCAACGGACCCAACCGTTGCAAGAACACATTTGTCATCAGCCAATGCACAAGCAAGTAATCGAACCTAGGACTGTACCGTGGCATAATACTATTCTACCACTAGACCACTAGTGCTTGTTTTAAATAATTCACAATGACATAAAATAATACTACTTATTCAAATGAGTCAATTTGTTTATTTTAAAAACAACTGATTTTATATCCAGTAAATATCGCGATATATTGTTCTTTTTGGCTAAGTTTTTGTGTTAATATCGCGATATGTTTTAATATATTTGTGTTCTTTATTAGCAGCATTGACTTCCAGTTAGTTTGTTTTGAATTTCATTTTTTCAATTTCATTATATATATATATATATATATATATATATATATATATATATATATATATAAAATTTTAAAGGAGACCTTGACGAAGCAGGACCAGCAAGAGTAGAAGAATTTATGTGCAGATGATCTTCCTGTTAGAGTAGGTGACCAACAAGTCAACTTGTGGCTGTGGTCTTTCTCTTTTTCCTTGTAATAAAACAATCGTTTTTCGTTCGTAATAATAAAATATTTCATTTGGCATTCTATATCTCTTATCCCATGCAAGTAGCATAGATATAGTCCTAACGAGTTACTCTATTACTATGAGTTGATCTAGTAGAATCATGAGATAACTCAGCAATGTAATGTAACTGTTAAACCTTGTTCCTAGTCGATGGGTTACGCCAATAATGAGGATACCGGCCTTTCCCTTTTGAGACTAGCACTTAGTGTATGTGTACTGCGTCTCATCAGTCCTCGGTGTTGTGACATCGGCATACTTGAGTGGGTGCTCATACTAGATGAGTTCACTGAACTCCCTCGCCCTAGAAATCTATAAGTGGTTCTCATTCATCGAGTAATAGGTTTCTAAGATATAGTTGTACACCATTAGTCCTTAAGACCCAGACATCACCGTGACTTCACTAGAGGACCGATTGTATCGTGACCTGTCCCTGAGTCCCACAGCGGACCACTCCAAGGGCCAACGTTCGTGCAATCCGAAATCTGTGCATTGTAGTAGGGGATTCGAGCGCTTGAGTAGTCATGGATGTCCTGTGTGTTCTAACGGTTTATAATCCAAGGAATCTCTGGCCAGAGTTGATAGTGGGGTGATTAGGGAAATGTGTTTCCCTAAGTCACACACGAACGGATTTATAATACCTAGAACGTTCGCACGGTTATTGAACTTTATAAGAGGTCTCGGTGAACCAATGCCTCTAGTTCAATCGGGACATGTGTTGCGAAGGGATCGTACTGTACGCTAACTATATCATAAGGTTCTTGCTGGCACTTCACTTGTATCTAGGGAATCATGATGCGTAGTTGCTAGACGCCAATCTTGATTCGTTGGGCACCGATTTGATCGGCGATTAAGTAAAATGAGTTTTACTCTAATCGGGACTCTTGGGAGGAGTTCGTATAAGAAAAATGTGTTGTTCGAATCACAAAGAGTTGTGAGCCCACGGCTAGCATACACCTGAACCATTGAGGGTCACACTTCTCGTGTAATACGGATCCTTGATAACAATGAGCATAGGTTAATATGTTAATCTTTGCAAAGTTGGAGGTCAATATGATTGAGTCCAAGATTCGTGATTGTGGATTACGAGTCGGAATAAACGTAGAGAAAGAGACATGCGGAATTTAGTGAACTTTCTAAATTGGGAAGTTTCCCGATTTAACAGGTCCACTGAAGTGGAAGTTTCCACTTTTGGAAATTGGAAATATCGAAGAGGCACTCGTATCGATGAGGACTTTAAGCTCGTCACAAATATAATTTTGTTATAATTTTGTGAACGATCGTTTGCTAGAAACGAGGCCGACGAGGGAATGGGCTTAATGCATCAGTGGGTCAAGCCCAATGACTTAAGCCCACAAGGGTTGAGAACCCTAGTATAAATAGACCTCAAACAAGAGTTTGAGTTCAGATTTTTGACTCCCACAACCCTAGCCGTCCAGCCCTAGCCGCCCAAGCCTCTCGGCCGCCGCTGCCCCGCCGCACCGGCGCCGTTCGCCGCCGAAAACCGCCGGTTTTCTCTTCTTTTTCTCTCGTATTTCTCTTGTTATCTAACCCCTTTGTATCTAGTGCTACAGTAGGGGGAGATCGGTTTATTCGAGGTG